GTCTAATCTTGTGATCAATAATAATGTGCTGTGCTTTAAAGTATTTTATGGTGTTGTAAGTTTGGGATCTAATGAGCTGAATTAATCAAAGATCGTTCGTATTTCCTCGCTGAAATTTTGTTTTTTTATTCTTTCCACTCACGTTTGAGATTAAAGAATGATCTCTACTATAAAATTACCGTATAGACAGCCAAAAATAACTTTCTAGCTATAGAAACTCTAGAACTTGAACTTTATTTTGGGCATTATCCGATTAACCTTAAGCTTAATCCGAAATCAAGTTAAATTTCAATAATTACAAAAAATGTTGGGATATCAATCTAATTCCCACATCAGAAATTTTGACAGGAATTGTCTGGTATATAAGAGATGTCCAACTCTAATTAGTATGAGACATTTTGGGAAGGAACCCAAAGACAAATCCGTGCGGGCTTTGCCAGTTGGGTCCAAAGCGAACAATATCATACTAATGGGGGAGTTGGACATGCTTTTTACGAAGCCCAACAAATGGTATTAGAGAATAGGTTCAGAAAAGGTGGACATGGAGGAGTTGGTGTGGGCTCTGCATGTTCGTTGTGGGAGGAGCCCTCAAGGTGACATTGCGTTAAGGGGCACCAGTGCCTTGTGTCGAAAGTCTTCCTAACTAAGCAGAAGGTTAGGCAGCGGGTTCCGTTGGCGATTATGGCGGTACAAGATAGGTGCGAAGATTCGCTGGAGGTTGGAGGCCACATGTTTGTGTGGTTCTTGGTTTGAGGAAGGTTCACCTTTTCAGAACCAATGCTTTGATACCAATTGTTGGGCTTTGCAAGCCAATATCCAACTCTCCTATTAGTATGATATTGTCCGCTTTGGGCCCAACTGGCAAAGCCCGCACAAATTTTACTCTAGGCTCATTTCCAAAAGGCCTTATACTAATTAGAGTTGGACATCTTTTATATATTAGACAATTCATGTCTAAACTTCCGATGTGGAACTTGGATTAATATCCTTACAATCCTCTCCTCAAACCAAGAACCACACAAACCTGTGGCCTCCAACCTCCAGCGAATCCTAGCACCCATCTTGTACCGCCGTAATCGCCAACGGAACACGCCTTTTAACCAATCTTGTTGGGAAGACTTTCGACACAACTTTCCATTCAGTTTTCATGTTTAAACATGTCCATTTACCAATAAAATTTCAGTACAAATAAACTCAAAACCGATCTCTTGTCAATAATAACTAAACCATGACACTTGAGATTCTCTTTTACAGCCACTTCTTATCACATCTCGAGCTTGTAATAACCTTTTCCGCTGTAAAACAAAACCACACAATACATGATCCTGTATTGCAAATTCACCAAATCACATTTGGTGCCTGCATCACAAGTTACTTACCATCTGAACACTTTCTGATTTATCAATATCTTATAAACATGTCTTCGATATTAATCCTTCCTCACGTGAGCTTCAGTTCACTTAGCTTCCGGATTAAATCTCCTAAATCCTCTTTATATGATGCCACTGGACACAAGTTTAGCCTTACTTGTGTACCTTTGTCAATGCAGTTTGCTTAATCCTGCATTCACATCCTTTCTTAGACAAAGACTTCCACAAGTGAATTTATCTCATTATTTTTCAAATACAAAAACTCCACCTGCATTTGTGTATTCTCTTTCTGCACTCATGTCCTCTTCTAGAATCCTTCTTGAAGTGTATAGACTGAGACACTAACCTGCATAACCTTCATTTGTCTCATAGATTCTCATTAAGAGAAATCAACATAACCACTTCAATATCCTCATCTCAGGCTCCAACACCTTAGTGTTCATTCTAACCTTCAGAAAACCCTTCCAACTCACCATCATTCAACAATCGTGTTCAATTTTATCTTGGAGTCTTCCTCATGTTCTCTCTGAAACAAATCTTATACTAATATACCATCAATCGTCACCTCAATACCAGAGACCACAAAACTTTGATCTCTCCTCCAACAAAGCTAACTTGTATATGTCTTGTACCGCTATTTAAACCAACAAGACACCCGCCTAACACAAAACCCTAGCACAGTCCATTGCGAACTAGCATTGAGAATAATTTCTCAGAGAACACGCAGTCTCCAATGCCTGAACTTTCATTTAGGCCATCAAATGCTTCTTTAATGTTTGAAGCTCTGAAACAAGACAAGATACCTTCCAAAACATGGCTCTAACTTGAAAAAAGCACCTTCTGCAATTGTCTCATCAGAACCTGTCATCTGCATACATCGTACTTGCTTCCATACTCTCATTTTGAAGATCAGTTACCGTTTCACAGTGTGGACTGGTGAAACTTTTTGATGCATCCAAAGCAATAACCTGGAACTGCTTGTGTTGTGACTAAAACTGTAGCCACTCACTCTACCTCACATATAACATCTCGTCTACTGTTCCAACAAGTGGCACTTGATGTAGCAAGCCACTACCAAGATGATAACACATCTTACTGATTTCCCRAGCAGATTCCTTTTGAGGTTTTCTTCTTGTCCTTGTTCTCGTATGACTTTGATGACTCTTGAACCTTGTATACCTATGTTACTAATTTCAGAAACCCACTGATTTAGCACATAAATCACCCTTASTGCATCCAACAAAATATACAAAGAATCGACACAGTCTCTTTGGATTTTCACTTGAGACTTCAGGTCTCAAGATGATYSAACCTTTCAAGATTKTGATCATCAGACCTGTGAGGATCTTATATTTTTCTCAACCAGATCACTAAACCGAGATTTACCCGTCAAATGGTCTTCCTCAAATCTTTCCCATAAAACTTGAAAACTTTCATTGTTCCATAAAATGTTTAAAACCAAAAAACAGAATGCATYACCTTATCTCCGAACTCATCTGCTGTACATTTCTCATTTATCCTTAAAACYTTAGCCAACATATCAAAAGTAGCCATTAACACAAATAGAGTTCTAAGTACCAAGGCGTCCCTAATCCTTATCACTCAATTCCAACAGCTACTCTTCTTTGACATATTTAAACACCAAATGTATCAACTCTTTACAGGGAGTTCACTAAGAACACAGTCTAAAACCAGCACTAAATCTTGACCGAATCTTCTATAAAACTTGCATACATATCTTGAGTTCCAACCAGATTTTAATATTTTGAGAATTGCAGATCAGGAATAACTAGAAAACCATTAACAAGATCATKAAAAAAAATATTTGTGATTGCAGCAGAAACTTGACAGTTGCCTTCCAGATTTGAACCAAGAAGTTGATGATTGATTCTGAAAATTCAAGCTTTAGCCAAAGAACATCTGACTCCTACCTTTCTATATCAGAATTCAATATAATCCTTGTGATATCCTCCATCARGTAATKGTCTCATGGTCTGCACAAYGAGAACAAATTTTTGTAGAACCTTTCTTCAATCTGATGCTTCTCAACTCCAGCCTCTGGATTCGTTCTTTAAAATTTTTGGAGATACATACCTTAGAAGCCTTTTGATTTCACAAACCAGGGGAAACCTGCTTCATCCAGTTCAAGCCTTCTCTTGAATCTGTCTTTCTTCAACTCCAATGTCTTTAACCAAGACCAACTGAATCCTCCTTCTTCTTCTCGCTTGTAATATCTCCTTGATCGGATTAATGGATCGACGTGTGTTTGGTTCTAATACCAATTGTGGAGTTTTCAAACCTATGTCAAACTCCGCCCATTAGTATGGTATTGTCCGCTTTAGGCCCAGAGGCAAAGCCTGCATGGATTTGTTGTTGGCTGTTTTCCAAAAGGTCTCATACTAATTAGAATTGGACATCTTTTGTATATTAGACAATTCATGTCTAAACTTCCGATGTGGGACTTGGATTGATATCCCAATAATCCTCCCCCCAAACCAAGTACCACATAAACCCGTGGCTTTGTACCTCCGACGAAACCTGGAATCCATCTTGTATCGCATGTACTCTTCACCTAACCTTTGGGATACCGCTAGGAATACTTTCGATAGGTCACCTTTTTGGGGGCTCTCGTCCCATAATGAACATGCATACCACACCCACACCCACTCCTCCAAGTCCACATTTTCTGAACCTATTCTCTGATACCATTTGTTGGGCTTTGCAAGCTCATGTCCAACTCTCTTATTAGTATGATATTGTCCACTTTGGGCCCAACTAGCAAAATCCGCACGAATTTATCTTTGGATATCACTTATATATTAGACAATTCATGTCTAAACTTCTGATGAGAGACTTGAACGAATATCTCAATAATCCTCCCCTCAAACTAAGAACCACACAAACCTGTGGCCTTCAACCTCCAGCGAATCCTGACACCATCTTGTACCGCCGTAATCGCCACCAGAACCCGCTTCTTAAAAAGGAAGACTTTTGACACAAGGCACCGGTACCCCTAAATCGCAATGTCACCTTGAGGGCTCCTCCCACAACGAACATGCTGGCCACACCCACTCCTCCATGTCCACTTTTCTGAACTTAGGCTCTGATACAATCTGTTGGGCTTTGCAAGCCCATGTTCAACTCCCCCATTAGTACGATATTGTCCACTTTGGGCCCAACTGGCAAAGCCTGCACGGATTTGTCTTTTGGCTCCTTCCCAAAAGGCCTCATACTAATTAGAGTTGGATATCTCTTATATATTAGACAATTCATGTCTAAACTTCCGATGTGGGACTTGAATTGATATCCCAACAATCCTCTCCTCAAACCAAGTACCACACAAACCCGTGGCCTTGTACCTCCGGCTAAACCTGGCATCCATCTTGCATCGTATTTACTCTTTACCTAACCTTTGGAATACCGTTAGGAATACTCTTGACACAAGGTCCGTGCACCCTTATTCGCCAGGTCACCTTTTTGAGGGCTCTCCTCTCGCAACGAACACCCAGCCCAACCCACTTCTCCAAGTCCACTTTTCTGAACCTAGGCTCTGATACCATTTGTTGTGCTTTCCAAGCCCATGTCCAACTCTTCTATTAGTATGATATTGTTTGCATTGGGCCAGAGGCAAAGCCCACACGGATTTGCTCTTGGACTCCTTCAGAAAATGCATCATACTAATTAGAGTTGAACATCTCTTATAGTACAAGAAAATTCTTGTTTAAACTTCGATGTGGAACTTTGATATCTTAACAATCAAGTGGTCGATGTGACGAACTGACCAGTGAGAATAAGAACTAAGCAAAAAGAGAGTTCAAAGCCTTTATTTCTCGGTCCTCTTCTATTAATGATAAGATCCCCTCTTTAATGA